GAACTCACCATGGAGTACCTCACCAGACGCCAGGACATCTACGAGCTCGAGACGGAGGAGGACCGCAAGAAGCATGTCAAGACCAAGAGCGCGGATCCCGCTCAATGGACTCTCAGGATGCAGATTGGCAAGCCCCTTTCAAGGTCAGTGGCACAAAAGACCTGGGCCAAGGATCCAGACGATTGCAAGCATCCAGAAGATCAACTTCGACACCGAGCTGGACGGGGACACTTTTGGTACACCTGTCTCGGATGTGGCTCACGCTGGGAACGTCTCAGTCAACCAGCGGAAGCAACCTCATCAAGCTCTTCTACGCAGATCGTCCAACCAATCGAGAAGAAGAACAACCCACAGGGGTATCCGAAGAAGCTTCCAGCACCACGTTACCGTGCGGATCTGGGAGATTTTCACATCAACGTGCAGCTGAAGGAGAAGGAGACGGTGCCACAGCTGACACAAGGTCCAATCCCACCGACAGTGACACGACGTGGCGTGGAGGAGATGGAAGGTTTGGTCCCAGTACGGCGTGCCAAGTCCCCCACGGCAAGAACCGGCACTCCACAGCCGGAGATGTTCATGATGATGTCCAAGGAAGAGTGGGAGGACGCCATGATGGACTATCAGGAAGTGGTGGAGGAAGAACTACAGATGGTCCATGGCGAGCACTACACGGAGCACGACCGGGAGGAGTTCCTGGACCGTTGAAGAAGCATTTTGCCACCTATGAGGTGAAGAGTCTCGAGCAGATGAAACACGAAGATGCTTCTCTGCACAAGACTGTGCATGGAATCGCTCGCAGCGCCTTTTTGCTGATGATCTCCTTTGTCGCGGCCGCAGATGCCTCATTAGCGGCTTCGACTACAGCCTATGAGATCTCGAATTCAGACACTTTTTGCTTTGACCAGCATAAGAACTTCACTGCTGGCGTTGACAACCTTGATCTTTTGCTGGGAAAACCAACTCATCTTCTCGGCAGCACTGATGATGGAAAATGGCACCCCATGGACTTGGTTTCACCGACACAAGTTTTGGAGCAGTCTCAACATCCATGTCGAGTTTGTTGGGTGTATCCAACCAATGAGAGCAACAAATGGCTTGGCGTGGAGGACCATGACTGGCATCGCAGTCCTAAGTCTCTCCCGAAGAATGTGAAGACCTTCATACATCAAGCGGTCACAGCCAAGCATGGGCACCAGGCTGACGTGATGGAGATCTACAGTCCACCACGCATGACCAAAGAGGCTAAGAAGCAGAATGAGCAGGGCACACTTCCTCGACTACGCCTTGGTCAAGCGCTTGATCTCACTACAGGCTGGGATTTCACTCGTCAAGCCCATCGACAAGCAGCTCTCAGGTTGATTGCAGAATGTCGTCCTGCCCTGTTGATACTCTCACCACCATGCACAGCCTTCAGCACCCTTAGACGGCTGTCAACTTTCAAAAGAGATGCAGGTGTGGTGGATCAGGAGTTGAAGGACGCCCTACTGCATTGGCATTTTGCCATCCATCTTGCTCGACTTCAGCATCGGGAACGCCGGGGATTTCTTCTTGAGCATCCTCGATATGCAGAAAGTTGGAAAGACAGCCAAGCGGAAGCCCTTGTGCAGCTTCCTGGGGTCTACCGCATTGTGGTGGACATGTGCGCTTTCCAGCTCTACACCGACGGAGGCTTGGCCAAGAAACCTACTGCACTGGTCACCAACGTTTGGCCTTTGGTACGCCTTCTTCGCAAGTACCGGTGCGATGGTAAGCATTCACATCAACCTCTCCTTGGCGGTGGACGAGCAGCAGTTGCAGCTCAGTACACTCTCCAATTTGTCAGAGCCGTTCTCCAAGGTCTCAGACACCACCTTCGCGGCCGAGGAGTGGACTACGTGCATGTTGCAGAAGACTCCGTGCTGCTTCCGTCAGAGCTTCAAGACCGAGTCAACTACTATGCACGAGCTTGGTCACAACCTCTGGCTGACTACATCCTTGAGGAGTCCCACTTCCAGCACGAGTTCTTCTACATGACCTACTCGTTCACGGCTTTTCCAGCCCACAAAATTTTGGGCCGGGGAGATGATGTTCCTGCGGCTTCTGGCGCGGCGCCTTCTTTGCCGTCTTCGACGCCCTCTACTTCTGCTGAAGGTCGACCGCACAAAGGGCTGAAAGCCCTGGAGGATCACCCAATGCAAGCTCCCGCAGAAGCCGACCCTGTGCTGGAAAAGGCCAAACATGAGATCAGGCCACTTGCTGAGTCCGACGAGGTGCAAGCTTTAGCTCAAGATCTTTCTCAAAACCGCTCTGATGCGAGTCTTCCAGCGGACCTGAGGAGAGAAGTGTTTCGACTACACCGGAACCTGGGACATCCGTCTCAGGAGAGCTTCATCCGGGCTCTCAAGCACGCCCAAGTCAAGGACGAAGTTTTGGAGTATGTCAAGCGGCACTTCACTTGTCCCATCTGTCTGCAGCATCAGAAGCCGAAGACACCTCGACCAGGACATCTTGCACATGGCTTGAAGTTCAATGAAGTGATTGGCACTGATGTCATCTTCCTGGAGTATGGTGGAGAACTACACGCCTTCCTGAATGTGATCTGTTGGGGAACTGGGTTGCAGAATGTGACCTACTTGCCACAGAAGACAGCTTCACAGACGATGACAGCTCTCACTGATTCCTGGCTCACGCCATACGGCCCTCCTACGCTACTGGTCACGGACCAGGGAAGAGAATTCACTGGCCGGGAGTTCGCCTACAAGCTCAATCAACTTGGTGTCATGGTGCATTTCATCGACACTCATGCCCCGTGGCAAGCCGGGCGAACAGAACGAGCCGGAGGAGTGTTCAAACAGAAGCTGAAGCTGGTGGTGGCAGAGTGTGCAATCCACACATGGCCGGAATTTCTCCAGGCTGTGAAAGAGACTTGCATAGCAAGAAACAGGTTCTACAACAGATCTGGTTTTGCACCATACCAGAGAGCTTTTGGCTACAACCCTCGAATGCCAGCATCTCTTCTCTCCGACGACATCTTGGACCCCATCCTGGTGAACATCTCAGCAGCCGAGGATGTGCAACGCAGCTGGCAGATCCGAGACATGGCAGCTCAGTCTTGGTTGCGAGCCCTGGATGAGGACACCGTGAAGAGAGCCCTCAAGTCACCGACGAAGACCACCGACCAAACTCCTTTGAACGCAGGTGATTGGTGCTACGTGTGGAGATCAACAAACCTGCACAGTGGCTGGAGTGGTCCCGGCGTTATTGTCGCCATCAGTCCCAACCAGAGGACGATGTGGGTCAGTCTTCGTGGCTCCCTTCTCAAGGTGCCCAAGGAGCATGTGCGTCCAACTACTGGAGAAGAAGATCTGGGCAGAGATTTGGCCAAGGAGCTTAGTCTGGAGATGATCAAAGACATCAAGAGTGGCAAGCTTTCCCGCTACCATGACTTGTCTGAAGAACTACCTGGTGAAGAAGATGAACAACCTTTCGAGGCCGAGGTCAAACCTATGGAAGCCTTGGATGAAGAAGCTACTCCACCACATCGTCCAGCAGAACCTGACTTGACGATGGAGGAGTACACGCCCACCAGTGTGGTTGAAACTGACGATGAGCTCATGGCTGCGACACCAGAACACGAGCAGCTTCAACCTGCTTTTGAAGCCCCTCAACAAGCTTTGGATGATGGTGAAGAAGTGAGCACCCATATGGGGACGGATGATGCAGCTCATAGCACACCGCTGACGAGTATGCCGCCTTCAGCACTACCCAGTCGCCGAAACAGCATTCAGGTGGATGAAGGACGTGGTGGCACTTTGAGGACAAGCTTCGGACCTATGCGGCCAGCTGAGGATCATGCAAGATCACTGCCGTATCCTTTCTCAGAACCTCCGAGGTCTTTGCCAACGCCACCGGAGAGAAGATCACACTTCTTTGAGGTGGTCACCTTCGACCAAGAGAGAACCCGCAGAGCCACCTGGACTACTGGAGAAGATGGTGCACTTTGGTGGTTTGATCAACGAGCTGAGCGCTTTGGCATCACTCCGATCTCCACAGTTAACTTCACTCTGGACCAGGCAGAAGGTTCCTACAGCTATGCGGACCGCTGCATCTACTTGACAAAGACCAAGTTAGCGCCTGGCCACATCGAGTTTGAGAAGCTCACCAATCCAGCTCACCGCAAAGCTTTCCTGGATGCAAGGATCAAAGAGGTGCAGTCTCTGATCGAGAACCGTGCAATCACCATTCTGTCTCCAGAAGAAAGCCGAATCTTCCGAAGAGACCATCCTGACTGTGTCCTACCCAGCCGGTATGTTGACCGGTGGAAGCCTTCAGGTGATGGAAAGTTCTCGACCTTGCCGGAGCACTTCGACGAGCCCACCTTCGAGCCGATGGACCATCCTGGTTTGTCTGCAAAGTCGAGATGGTGTGTTGTTGGCTGGCGTGACCCATGGATCCATGCCATGGAGAGAAGCGCTCCTACGCCCTTGTCCAGCAGCATCATGCTTTTCCTTCAGGTTGCAGCTACAAGAGGCTGGACGGGCAGAATCAAAGACTGCAAAACAGCTTTCCTGCAATCCTTACCTACGACAAGGAAGCAACGCCTTTGCTGCTCTATGCCGTCTGGTGATGGAGGAGTGTTTCCTGGTTGCTCTAAAGATCAGCTGATCCAACTGGAGACCGAGGTCTATGGCCTTGTCAGTGGCCCTGCTTGGTGGAGAAAGAGCTTCCTGCAGGTCTTGGTAAAAGAATGTGGCTACCGCATCAACAGCTACGACCGCTGCGTGCTGACCTTGGACGCAGAGCCGCCTGACCTCAAACCACTTCCAGGTACCACTTCGACCTCCTCGTCTACCGGAACTTCAGCTTCCTCTACAAGCTCAACTTCTCGCTCTACGACCAGCTTGGGAGAAGGGAAGCCCGGTGATCGCACTCAAGGGCTGATTGTCATTGAGATTGACGACGTTCTTGAGGCTGGCAACGCCGAGCATCGCAGACGAATGGAATGGCTTGAGAAGCGCCTGAGATTTGGCAAGGCAGTGAACCTTCAAGAAGAGAAGAGTGGCACTGGCTACGCCGGGAGGCGCTTGAGACAACTCGAGAACTACTCCTTCGAGCTGACGATGGCTGACTACATCAAGAACCGCCTCAAGCCGGTGGTCTTTCAGCGAAAGTTCCTGGTCAAGAACGCCAAGAGCATCCAACTCACTGATGATGAAGAATCTGCTTTGAGAGGAACTGTGGCTAGCATCAACTGGTGCGCTCGAGAAGGACGACCAGACGCCGCCGCTGCAGCTTCAGTGTTCTCGGGGGTCTTTCCAAATCCCTCGATTGCTGACGCCTTGGAGGTGAACAAGATCGTAGCCAAGCTCAAAGAGATCGATGTGGTCATCCGCATACACCCCATTAAGGAGGAGCTCATCCGCCACGTGCTGATCAGCGACAGCTCCTTCGACCCTACGGGGAAGACCAAACCCCAACACGGGTGGCTTCAAGGTGTGACCACACCACAACTGAACCGAGGAGAAGAAGCGCCGATCTCCTTGATCAGTTGGAAGAGCAGGCGCCTGAGGCGCAAGGCTGGGTCTTCGAACCTCTGCGAAAGCATTGCGCTTTCCACGGCCTATGGAGCATTGGAGAAGCAGATGTCGACATTGAACTCTTTCCTAAAGTCCAACTACAGTGTGAGGGATGAGCTTGAAAGGATGGATGATGGAGGCCTCCGCGGGACGCCCACTGTCATCGCGGAAGAAGACCAGAACTTCCACGACCCGAAGTCCGTGGCCATCCTGGACTCGAAGGGAGTGTTTGATGCTTCCTCGAATGAGCAGAGCCAAGGTGAATGCGACAGAACGTCGCTGGAGGTAGCTTTGATTCGGGATTCCATGTCTCGAACTTGCTCTCGCATTCGCTGGGTTCCACACAACAGAAACCCGGCTGACATGCTGACTAAGGTGTCACAAGCACATGAAGTGCCGATGTACGACCTGCTGAGGACCTCGAAGTACAGACTGCAGGTTGAAGCGGAAGTGCTTGAGTCCGGTCGACAGTCGGAACAAAGGCTCAAACAAAAGCATACTCATAAAGAAGATAAGGAGGCTGATGAAGGTGTGAACATTCATGAGATGCTTTAGATCCGACTGTTGCCATCGGGTTCAGGCCTTGAGTCACTTGGGTGCGCATTGGAAAAGAGCCATGCCGTTTGCTTGTTAGCATTCCGGAAGTTTCCCCGAACTCCTGCCTTTTATAGCTTCTTACTACTACTACTACTACTACTACTACTACTACTACTAGTAATGCCCTTAGCCACTAGTAGCTTCTTGCTAAGTTGTGTTGCAAATGTCCAGGTGCTTCTTCATTCCATGTCAGGTCCTTTTTAAGGAAGGCTCGAGCCATCACGAGCGGCGTTTCAAACCTGTTAGAATTGAGTCCATATGTTTTTCAACTGTAAATGTACGTAGCGTGGCACTGTCCATTCCGTGGCCTTCCAATCTTTTTCCGGCTAAGTCTCATGAAGCCCCGAAGACTGCGGTGGCACTGAATTCCCGTGCGGGTGGGCCAGCGCAGTAGGCTGGAGCTGAAAGAGAGAGGATGTGCAGATTGGCTTTGGCCACCTTGAGGATAAGACGGCCTGACCCAAGCCACACTTGGGTCAGGATGTTCACATGATTTTGCCTGGTGATATCATTGTATTTTGGAATGTCCGTCGCTTCAAAGTTTGGTGCCCGGTTTTGAAGCCAATCATTCTGAACTGCGTTTGTTTCGTCAACGTGTGTGATGCAACTTGCTGCCTCCGCTGCTGGCCAAGAGAATCAAAGAAAAGGGAGCATGGCGGAGCAAGAAGATGCATAGAGAAGCTGACTCTTGAGGAGTCGAATATGTCGAATGAGTCGAAGAGAGTCTTGAGCAGCCAGAAACCAAAGGAACCGGAGGACCGGTTCCAGCTCCATTCAACCACAGCAGGTGAGCTTCAGAATCTCTCCCTCCAAGGATCATTTCCATGATACATCATGATACATCATGGCACTTTGACCCAGCAAATGTGCATGATCCACATGTCAGAGGAGTCTGACCTTTCCAAGAGTCAAATCCAGACTCTGCCAGACATTTCCAGACCTTTTCCTTTGGTGGAGTCCAGTTTCACCTGCCAAAAGCCCGACAGCCATGTCGCAGCTGCCTGAGACATATGGGTATCCTGTGGTGTCAGTGTCTTGTCACGGCTTAGTGTGGTAGACACTGAATCCTGGTCCAGCTTTGATGTAGACAAAGATGGAGTTACTTTTGTTCTAAGATTGTCATTGATCAAGAGGATCGATTCAATTTGTGTCCTCAGCCCACTTGAATCTTCTGCCCAAGGTTTGCCCAGATGATCCACCTTGGACCGCAGCGCCTCCTGATTGGCTCGAACAGCAGGCCTGGTTCTTGGCGGCCCTGGACAAGAAGTTCGCAGAACAGGAGAGGTGTGAGGAAAGACCACCAGTTCATTGGAAACATGCATAGCCTCACGCAGTGCACAGTATTTTTTGGCTTTATACGCCGAATGCGTATGCAGGAAGAGACAGACAGTCAAGACTCAGGTTCATTGAAATAAATAGTAACCGCGCTAAAGCCTTTAATACGCTTTTCTCGGCACGGAGTGGAATACAAATTCAGTCCGGATAAGTTGTTTGTGGCTGCATGGTAAATCAATGGATGGACACATGCATTTGTAAATAGAGACATGGTCAAGGCAAGAGGGGCAGATTTACGCAGATGCCGGCGATGCAAGTGCAGACAGGTTGACTAGATAGATGGATTGATGGATAGATAGATAGGCGACAACATCAGTCATAGTTACATCATGATATAGCAATGGCAAATGCATGGGCAGACAGTGAGACAGACAAGTTTGGTCAAGTTAGGTCGATGATATCAAATGTAGACTATCATAAGTCATACGTCAGGAGTATTTTGCAGGTTTTCGAGCTCCTTGATCATTCAATCGCAGGGGGGATTAGGCAGGTTCGGCAAGCTTCATGGGTAAAGCTTAGGCATTTGTCCGATCATTAACTTTATATACATAATCGTTTGCTGGTGTTTACTGTACATTCATGGGGTCTACTATTTTATATGCTTGGCTACTCACCGTATAGTACCACATAATTGGTTAAATGTTTCCTTGTTGGATTAGTCTGATCAAAATGCAGCAGAAGAGAGCAGTGTAAACGTCAATATGACTAGACAGAAACACCACAATAAGCATGTCAATGGGCCTTCAATGCCCTGGAAGGCGGAGAAGATAGAGACATACATAAAGGTATCATAAAGGTAGATAGAGATGAAGGTTGGGTGCGCTAAGCTGGAAATCACGTTGTTTTTGTGTTCATTCGCGTGTTCTGTTCACCGAACAGCACTGGGCAACCTTCGCCAACCGATAACACTGTTGGCAGTATTTTGTGTCATGTCAAGCTTTCCAACTTACTGGGACGAGATCATTTCCAGGAAGCAATGTTCCAGGACCAACTGAAACTGCTCGGATCAATTTTTCCAGGCAAGCGGCAAGCAGGTTTTGGCGTTTGACTTTTCAATTCCCCACTTAGAAATGGAAACTCTCAGAACGAAATTTGAAGAAGGCGCTCGACTTACTTGACAATGGCAGTATCCACTGCCTTGTATGCATGATGTTGAACAGCCAAAATTTTAAGTATGATTGAACAGATTATAGACTGAAAATGACTGAAACATGTTCAGCCTTTCGTGGGGTCTGACTAGAACCTGTTTGTCAGTGTTGAGCCGCTTCTTTAAAGCTCGTCGTGACCCACGCTTGCAAGGAGGCAGTGATTCGAGAGTTGCTTGATCCCGGCCTTGACATTCAAGGTTATGACAGTTATGACGTGCCTGCGATCCAAGTGATTCCGGACCCGCAGGAACATGATGCAAGCGTGGAACTCGAAGAGGAGGATGAGGAGGATGAGGGAGGAACTACACCAGAAGCCTGGTGAAGTTGATTGTATGCTTTTATACTTTGTTCTATTTTAAAGATAGGGCTCGAGAGAAGACGGGACGCGCATCCTCGATAGCTCCGACCCCCTTTGTGCTAGTTGCACATAGCCATAGCGCCTGCCAGCCCTTCTTTCCATAGAAGGCAGCGGCTCAAGCGTGCGAAAGCGAGAGCTTTCGTTAAGCAAGCGAAGAGGAGAGGCACGCTCAAGTATAAGCAGCTGGATAGGTTCCGTGCTGCAGTGGCCTTACTACAAGGCCACCACTCGAAGCCGAAGTACATCTTTCCCCAGAAGATCGTCCGGACACTGAGTATGTCATGGAAGAATGGCTGGAGGAAAAGCGACTACCAGTCTTGGGGAAACTATCCCAAGAACCAATGGAAGAAGCCAGACAAGACCGAAGGCACTCTGATTTCCTGGGACGGGAAAAGGGTGGCTTTGGGCGAAGGCGATACCCCTTCTTCGCTCTCATCATCGTCGCGTGGATCTACGGCACCAGCCAAGCAAGGGGAAGATCCGCATCTCAAGGATATGGTCCGACGACTCCTCGATGGAGATGCCAAGAACGACCCAGATCTTATTCGGCAAGCAAAGCTTCTAGTCGAAGAGACGCCTCAAGAGGCATTGAGGAGAGAGCAGCGAGAGCTCAACCAGAGACGAAGAGATATCACTCGCAAGGAGAAGCTCCGAACCAAGCTGGACAATACTCAAAACAGATTCACAGACTGGAAGAGTCGAGTTCAGCATACAATTCGAGTAGAAGAGACAAGGTTTTCCGACGAAGTTCGAGATCTCCGCAAGCAGCTCAGTCAGGCAGAGAAAGACGAGGAGATGGAAGACGAAAAGCAGCTGGACAGCGAGGACGATCTGCAAGATATCAGGCAAGCTCTACATCATCAAGAGAGGATGAATATGAGCCTGATGAGACAGAACAACCAGATCACTCAGCAACTTGCTCAGCTAACACAAGCCATGAGTCAGATTGCGCTTACAGCGGCAGCTGGCAATCCAGCTATGCAGCAGGAACTCCTCAAGCCTGCACCGGGACTGGCAATGCAGAATGTGAAGCCGGAAGCGCCATTAGTGGAGCTCGACCAAGAGGAATACCTTACCGAGGTGGAGATTATGAACCAGCTTGCGGGACTCCCCCAGCAGGTGGTAGATGGGACACTCGAAATCATCAGAGCCAAGACAACATCGGGCTGGACGGCCCAAGGGGTTCATTCTGTTGTCCAAGAGCTACAAGACAATCAGAGATTTGCTGCGGTGGAGACCATGCCAGTGGTGGAGGGTGCACTCAAACCATTTGGGAAGGCCAACACACCCAAGCAGCGGAGGAAGATGCCCTACGAAGGTGGGAAGGGCGTCTCCCCAGCGGCAAAGTCCCCAAAACTGGGGGCTATGGAGTAGGATGTGAGATGAACCAGACGGAATCAGAAGAGTCATCATGCCATTCAGCGGCATTTGCTTCTGCTGATTGTACCAAGATTGACATTTCTTCTCCGAACAGGATGGAGCTAGGCTTTGACAGCTGCATAGATTTTCCATTTTCAGATGGCGCCGTTTTTCAAGGGACGACACTGAATGAGGGGCGAGAAATCTATGTGGAGTTCTTGTCGTTGGATTTTGATGATCTGGATTGCAACCGCACAGGCAATCTATTTTCCAGTGATCAATCAGACCCTGCGAAATGGATCTTATCTTTCCTGAGGTTGTCATGCTTGGTGTTGGGATGCCAGGCCACTTGGATCTTTTGGAAAGTCTTTCATAGATTCCCCGGAAGATATGCTTACTTCAGGGGAAGGTTAATTCAATGGGCGACTAACCTAACTGTTTTACAGTTAGCGTTTTGGTTTTCGGTTAGCCCCGAAAGCTGGGAGTATTACATTGGCGGTGTGCATATCCAGCCAATTGTTCGAATAGTGATGGCTACATGGTTGAGCTGCACCTGGAGTGCGTGTCTTTTTCGATGCCTTTTCTCGTGCAGAGCTGAACATGTTCGGAAGTGCCGATCTGTGGGGGGCAAGCGAGCAGGGCGGAGTCCCAAGACCAAGCATAGGATTTCCGTGAAGGGAATCTTCTTGTTGTGTAACCTGGTGACTTCGCACGCAGTTGAGGCCTGCAAATTCCATGCAGGGACGACGCTAGACCATGTGAATCACAGCCCGCCTACGGAGACCTTTGAAGGCCCAGGTCGAGTCAGCATTTTTGACGCTTGCAACGACAACTGTTGTAATGCAGCACTACCAACGTGCCAACCAATCAGCTTCGACTCCTATAGGCATTTGAAGAGTATCGGCATGTCAGATCAGGACCCAAGTACAACGGGATTTGCTGTCAGCCCGAGCAAATCGCCACCAGATCAACCAGTTGACCAGTTGAACAAGGTGAACAGGGCAATTTTCAGATCAAAGATACCACACTGCGATCTGTTTTGGGCACTTGCCCGGTGCAAGCATACAATTTTGTGCTGCGTTTTGACTTTGCTGACACAAGTACGGCAAGGAATAGCGGCAGAGTGGAAACGATTCCTGGAGGCGGGGAAAACACTGCAACCCCTAGGTGTGAGGTGCGATCTCTGCTGGAGGAATATACAGAAGGATACTCAGATGATGATGAACAAGGTCATGACGACGAGTTGGTATTTTTCATGCAACAAGGAATTAGCCTGGCAGAGCCTCGATACGGGGCGATAGTGCTGCCGGACATGCCCCCAGGGAATGGGGACCTGCTGAAGCTCTATCTTCAGCAGAGTGCTCCCGAGCTTCTCATGCGCACTTTCGTGGAAGTGGACACATTCTTTCTGGCAAATGATCAAACCGCAGATGATCAAAGCCGACAGGTCCGCCTATATCGAGAACTTTCATGGACGAATGCTCTCATGAAGGCATGGTCGGATGGACCAGAAACCTCATTGGCATACAAAGCATTCTTGCTGGTTGATAATTCGGCAGGTCTGCTTGCACGCCCAACGTTATTGGGATTCCACCATGCGGAAGAAACTGTGCATGAGAGAGTGATCCTGGTGGATTCCTTGATACAGGAACCAACCCAAAGGCACATCGTGGCCTTGCGAGCAGGAGACCTTTTGAAAGATGCTTGGTGGGCCATTCATAGAGACCAGCCGATGGAGATGCATGATGTTGTTGGGATCTTCAAACAAGGTGACCAAATTTTTCGGTTGCGGTGGTGGGATTCCATGCAAGATGTTCGACCTGGAGCACATGGACGCATCGTGTTGCATAGAGAATGCTCAGAGGTCCCGCAACGATCCAAGCCTCCTCGTATCCTAGGGCAAGATAGACGAGGGTATAATGATGATCATGCTTTGATGCAAGCTTTGGCCTTTCCTAGAATGCCGGTCCACCATGTAGTTCAATATGTGTACTCCAGCAGAAGTGGTTTCATTTCGCAGCATCGGGATAGAACCATCCTAGTGCGGGCTTATCTGCACCTCTGGAGAGACAGAGGTGTGCCTCGTAGAGCATATCGCTTCATTAGGTTGAGGCCAGACTCTGACCCACACCTGAGAGTAGCTGAAACATGGACTGAGCATGAGTTTCTGTATCGGCGCAGACCATTCATCGTGCCAGTGAAGCCCATGCCATATCTCACACAAGAGCCCACCCCGGTTTGGCTGATCACTGACCATGACAGTGAACATTTTGTATTAAGTCTGGTAGACTATACTAGCGAAGAGCGCGTCTTCACAGCAAGTGCACTCATCAATGGCCAGCAAGGCTTTCCGCTAGCTGTGGCAATTTTCCAGCAACTTATACCAGAGAATACCTGCACAACGAGAACATATTGCTTCATTCGTGCGAATGGCCGCCATTACACACAAAGGCAAGCAGTCCCGCTTTACGGAGGCATATTCCTGCAGCTGTATGAAGAGCCAGAGGAATCCGACCCGAGTTCAAGCTGTGATTCCACGATGGACCCCACTGACTCGGATAGCTCATCTACCATTGAGACCACCAGCGAGCAGGAATCGATTGAGGAGCCTCCTAATGACGTTGACATGGATGAGATGGTACTGTTCCAACAGTATCCACTGCCCACGCAAATTTTTGCAATGACAGATGACGGCCAGGTCACTGTTGAAGGAGAACAAGTCACGCCGTGGGATGCCTGGGACCAATTTGCAGCGCAGATGGCCAGGGTAACGATCATTTCAGGAATTGAGCAAGCTCTACAGGAGGCTCGAGCCTTTTGGCAGGCACGAGGTGAACATCCCAAGTTTGTGGTAGTAGTTGCTAATGAACACTGGCTTGATGGGTTTCAAGAGTCATTTGGCCGCTTGCCAGGATATGCTTACCCGGACTTTGCTGGAGTCATTCGCGCCAATTTAGCACCATGGTTCTCATTTGCCATCACGCTGCATGTTTGGCAGGTAGAACCTAATTTAACACCGTATGAACAAGACCAGGAAGATGATATATACATGGTCGTGGACCAACGACTACCCCAGGGAATTCGGGTCGCCATTTTGATAGTCCATGATCCTGAAGATCTGGGTGTCATCGATAGGAAAGCTGTCCGAGTTCCAGCATTCCTAACTGATCAACTTACCTACCAAGCAGCTGGTTGTGAGACCAAGTGTCGCGACTCAGAATATGTTTGTGTGGTCGAGCATCAGGGCCAGCGATACATGCCAGGACTGTACTGGGAGGTGAGCAACGGAATGAAACTGGTCGTTTCGATTATGCATAAGAATAGTTTGGAGAGGTGCCCAGTCGGCCATCTAAACCTGTTGCAGCAAAGTGTGACTCTTGTCATAGCTCCTTTTCTCGATGTACAGGCAAGAGTAACGGACCAGCACGGTTTTGTTGTCCAGTATGATCTGCAAGAAGAAGAAGATAGGCTACTTCGCTTGCATAACTTAGCTGCCATGCTGCAAGTCCACATTCGAGCTAGTCAGTATATCCGGAAGCTAATCTTCTTTCGACATTTACGTCATGGCCACAATAACAGACTAGAGTATTCAG